TGCCTGCCTGGAGCCACACCTGGAACTTGCCGTGGTGCTCGGCGTCGTTTGTGTAGTCCTTGCGTTGCGGCATCGATGCGACCGACAAAGAGCCCGCTGGGGTCTCCCTTGCGATTGCCTCGGTGCCCCGCCAGCGTGCTTTTGTCATCATGCTGTCGTGCCTCTCCGCAGCCGCCGCGCTACCGCGGCCTCCGCCGCAGAAGGTGGCCCGCGCCTTCGCGAATCCCGTCTTGCGGCTTTTGCCGGATGCCCACCGCTTGGCCTCATTGCGGGGGCGGCCACCGGGCCGTGCCGTGGCCGCCCCCGTAGCTCGCGAAGCTGCGAACCGGGCTGCGTCCACTGCGCCGCGCCAGCGCGCCGCGACCGTCGGCCCCCGGACTCGGTTCTGCGGCCTGCGCCGGAGAGTTGGCGGTCGTGCGCTGGGTGGTGATCGTCATCTGTCTGCTCTGCTGTGCTTCTCGCTCGTGCGTCCTTGGACTTGTGCTGACCTCCTTTCACCTCCTGCTCTCCTATGCCACGTGGCTGTGTGTGTTTGGGTTTCTATGTTTGCGATTTGGATTTTGGATTTTCCATTGCACTTTGTTTATTTATTTATTAGGCAGGAGGCGGCGGCGCCGCAGAACGAAGCAGAGGAGAGCGACGCGACAGAAGAAGAAGAGACAAGGGAGAGAACGACGAGAAGGGGGCGACCGCGAGGTGGCATGAAGGTCGCAGCGAGAATCTGCGAGAGACTGCGAAGAGAGATAGGAAGAGGCGGACGCCCAAGGGTGGGCGACGGCTAGCGCACCACACCCCTCTCCTTAAAATCCCTGTGTGGTGGCGGCGTGCCGTTCTCCCCATCCCTCCCTTGGGTTGTCCGTTTTCTTTCTTTCTTTCTGGCCCCTCCCTATGTGTAAGAGCGCGCACGAGTGGGTGTGCGAGCAATATCGAAAGACGGTGAGGAAAGCGGCGAGTCGCAATTGATCCATGTGCTGCTTGGCACGTCGATGGTGGTGGCGGAATGTGGTTGTGGGTGAGTGGCGGCAGCATGTGGGGGCCGTTAGCCTGCGTTTTCTTTCTTTCTTTGCGGCCCGTTGGATCTTCCATTTATTTCTTTGCGCGCACGAGAAAGGACGACAGCCGCCCGCCAGAGTTTTCTATCCTGGAGTTTCGTTGTAACCTTCTCTCTTAATATCATCGCAAACCCCGTCAGCAGTCCTCCTCCGGGAATGTACGTAAGAGCTACATACACTGAGAGAGGCCGACTGCGCTGAGTGGTAGGGCCCCCAAGGGCCTAGAAATCGCGCCTGCCTCTCCCTTTTCTCCCAGTAAGCTAAAAGTACACTGAATATCTATCTGACACGCCGCAAGGACGCACACGAGGACGCACGTCCCTGGCACGTTCCAAATATGGCCATGATCGCCTCCTCAGAGCACTGGCTCGACTCGGCCCTTACGCTCCTTGCGGATAGCACTCGACTCAGCCAGTTCCTCGTCCTCTACCAGCTCGTCTTCCTGCTCGTCGTCCTGGCTTGCCTTGGTGCACAGCTTTTATTGACTGCCTGCTGCAACGTTTGGCGCCGCGAGGATGGGTTAGGCGGGGCCATGTGCCTTCAGCGGCACCGCCTCCCTAGCCTGGCGAAGCAGCGCTAGTCCTGGCGCGGCGGTACACGGGGATCGTGCTTCGTGGAGCCAGGCCCCGAGTCGCGGACAGCATGCATTCGAGAGATGGCGGCAGCGGGGGCTGAGCGACTGGGGCCCAAGAACAGATCAGAGTATACGACGGGCGTCCAGACATCCTGGCAGTCACGCTCGCCTTTGGCCCACCTTCCGCCGTGATGCCGCGATCACGGTGACAGTGTCAGCGTCACCACACTTTGAGAGAGCGGTGTGCCAGACCGGCCATAACGATGAGCCCTCCTGGACGGAAGACAAACCCCCCCTCGATCTCTCCTGTGTCATGCTATGCGCTGTGTGTGCAGCGCGCTGAGCAGATCGCCGGAGTATACAGCGTTGGGTGTGTGGGTGTTTCACAGCGGTTGCCAGCCCTCGCGGGGACCCGCGTCGAGACGCGCGCGAGGAGAGACGGCGCACAGGGCGGGGGCGCGCGGGGAATCTCGGGGACTCGAAGTGTGTCTGAGGTGTGTGTTTGCGTTT